ATATCCAATAAATTAATAAATATTTTGAATCATTATCGAAATCAATGTCTCAATATTAGGTATGATATTAGAGAGCATATCTAAAGCCGAAGCACAAGTAAAGTATCATAGCTGCTCGACGGTAAATGATTGCCAAGATGTTCATTGTTTGATTGCAGCAGTCAAATGTGTAGACTCACTATGTCAGTGTCCACCGATTTCACAACTCTCAGGCAGAAAGAGCTTTAGCCTAAAACCAGCAGAAACACCATTACCGTGCAAGACAGCAAGTGATTGTGAAGATAAGCTCACTTGTGTTTTGGGAAAGTTTGTCTGTAAAAATTCTCAATGTCAATGCTTGGTTGAATAGAGAATTTAGAAAATTGAAAATTTTATGTTTTTTCTTTGTGTGATGATAATAAAAAGAAAAACGAATTCTATATAGATCAGACTTCTTCTCCTTATTGGATACATATGTGCATAGAGAAACTTTCAAGTTGTTTTTATTTCTTCATTCTAACAAAACAACATGAGCTTGCATATGAGACATAAAAAAAATATTGTTAAATGGTATTAAAAACAATTATGCTATCAACTTGAGGAAACAATATGATTTTAATATTTCACCCACAACATATTGCTTGTAAATTTACTAATTTAACTTCGAAATGAAAGAGCTAAAGGAATGAAATCTCATATGAATGGCAAAGAAATTTATATATTTTTTTTTTAAGTTTAGAAAATTGGCAAGGAAAGAAATTGGAGAATTGGAAATTTTAGAAAAACAAAACAACGAGGCATGGAAACATTTGGAATTTTTAAATTTTAAAAATATATTTAACTGTGAATGCATTTTATGACTTTTCTATTTATAATATCCAACATAGCATAACATGTTTGTTCAATCTATCTATCTATTCTAGTAAAACAATATTTTTTTTAGAATCAGCTTTGATATGCTGTTACATGTCATTCTAAAAACTGACATGTGTCATTTTTTTTTTACTATTTCTATTGATTTCTCTTTTAACAAACAAACATATATATTTTTTTAATTTTGTTTTCCTCTTACAAACTATTATTTTCATCCAATAAACACAAAAAGAAAATCTAATCATCCAAACAAATATTATATAATATATTAAGATCATGTGTCACTTTTATCTTTTTTTTTCTTATCTCTATTAGATTCTCTTTTATCGAACAAACACAAAAATAAAACTTTAGTTTTTTATTCTTCTCAAAACATTTTTCTATCATACAACAAATAGAAACGAAAATCAAATCGCCTGACAAAGTATAAATCTTATTTAAAATAGTAACGTCAAGAGTCACATTTTTTCTCTTTTTTATTTTCCAATTTCTTATGGATTCTCTCTCATCGAACAAATACAAAAATAACATTTTTTCAATTCATTATTAGATTTTCTTTCATTATGTCTTCAACTTCATATTATTTACGAAGATTTTTTTACCTTTTAAGAGTTAATTGTGTCATTGTTTCTGCACGAAAATAGATTATTTTTTTCATGATTCTTTTGTGGCCAACCGAACAGAAAATCATGCATTATTTTCTTTCATGAAATCCTTTTAGATTAATGGCTCGCTACTTTATTTCCTACTCCATAGAACCTCAAATATCCACAACTATCACAATATGAATTCTACTCTTTGGGACCTACTTTTCGATTCTGTGTGATTTCATGAAACACTGGCAGCTTAACACTTCTGATAGGATCAAACCTCATTCTCTATAGAAATTATTATTTCTCCAACCTTTTAATACAATTTTTTTAAAAAATTAGATAATATTCACAAATTATAAACTAATATTTATCAACATATATTTACTAACAAATACAATAAAATAAATTATAAAATTAAAATAGTCAGAATATCGAAGCACAGACCTTCTCCTATGATCTATCATGGTTTTTATGGTTTTTAACCATGATATAAGTTCTTTTTATTGAGTCTTTTTGATCTTTTTAGAGTCCTAGTAGAGTCTTTGCAGGTTATAGCATGTCTGGAGCATAATTGGAGATTTTGGAACCTTTTGGAGCATTCTGGGTTGAAGCCACGAAGTACCAAGCTCGAAGCATAAAGTATCACATATGGTGACGCTCGTCACCACCTTTGGTGACGCTCGTCACCCATCAAGGAAGGAGTGTGGCTGTTTTATTAAAAGTATGAAGAAGATTTGCAGAATTGGCCCATAAGTTCCTTTATTTATATGAAGACCCCAGATCGTGTTTAGCCTCTATTTATTAGGTTTTTTCAGTCATTGTTGGCTATTATCTTAGTTTTTGAGAATTCAGAGAGCTTAGAGAGAGATTATTCAGAGCTTTTTGGGGAGACAAATCATGTACTCTTTTGAGAAGATTTCGAACCCCCTTTATTTCTTACTCTTTCTCTTAATGCAATTTTATTCAGTTATGTTTTGTGATCTCATAATCATGTCTTGAGTAATCTGCTAGTTAAGTTATGGTTTTTCAAAGGTTGATGAAAGGATTGTAGAATCGCTATCTGTTAGGAATATCTTATGGTTTTTCATCTCTGCTTGCTTTAAAATCGAATTTCTGAGACACATCATCTAGGAATCCGAAAATCTTAGGTTGTTAAATATATGTGAGAGCATTATTCATAACCTGAACTAGTATTTGATGAGCAAAGCAACTTAGTGCAAAGAGATTTGGCTTAGGAGTTTTGTAAACAATTGAATCTAATCAATCATGCATGTTTAGGTTGTTAGGGTTTGCAAAGAGATTTGAAACTCTGTGATTTAGGCATAGATAACTTTTGCAATGAGAATTGATTAGTTATACATCAGTGATTCATGTTTAAAACGGTTCTTAATCATTCCTGATTTCCTGCATCATACATTCTTGGATTCAACCTGCGAACTACCCTGATTTAGCACTTTTAGTCTTCCTGAACTTAGATCATCTCACACAATCATTTGCTTACTTTCATTCATTCATTCGCATTACATACATCATATTTTGCTTAGCTTAATCCGAATCTACATTCGATAGTGTAGTCTGCATTACTCTCTTAGGATTTCGATACCCCTTGTACTACAACTGCTTTTGCTGTGCACTTGCAGTAGTTTTATTTGGGTAAAACCTGAGCCTATCATCCTACGAATATGCCATTCTAGAAACAGACATGAATCATTTTTTTTTACTATTTTTACTAATTTTTCTTTCATCAATCAAATCTAAAAACAAAGTTTCATTCTTATTGTCCTTCTGTAAACGATTCTGTTTCATCCAATGAACACAAACGAAAATCAAATCACTCAAATAAATATTATATAATATAGTAATATGTCAAAAACTATTTTCTTTCTCTATTGGATTCTCTTTTATAGAACAAACACAAAATAAAAAAAAAATTTTATTCATTCTCCACACGGTTTTTTTCATACAATAAATAGAAACAAAAATCAAATATTCGAACAAAGTAAAAATCTTATATAAAATAGTAACGACAAGTGTCATATTTTTATTTTATTTTTGTTTTCATAATTCTTGTGGACTCTCTCTCATCAAAAAAATACAAAAAACAGCATTTTATTTTTTTTTTCTTCTCCACTAGAGACTCTTTCATTATGTCTTCTACTTTAAATTCTTTAAGAAGATTTTTTCTAACATTTAAGTGCTTACTAGATCATTGTTTCTATGCAAAAAAAAAAATATATTTTTTTAACATATCTTTTGTGGCCAACCGGACAGAAAATCATGTACTATTTTCTTTCATAAAATCCTTTTAGATTAATAGCTCACTACTTTCTTCCATACTCCATAGAACCTGAAACATCCACCACTATCACAATTTGAATTCTACTCTCTCGGATCTACTTTCCGATCTTTTCTGTGTGCTTTCAAGGAACAGTGGCAGCTTAACTCTTCTAATATGGTTTCATTCCTTTTCTCCTTCTGCAAACGATTTTGTTTCATCTAACCAACATATACGAAAATCAAATCATCGAAATAAATATTATATAATATAGTAAGATGTCAATTTTTTTTCTATCTCTATTGGATTCTCTTTTATAGAACAAACACAAAACAACGGAAAACAAAGTTTTTTTTTTTCATTCTCCACACAGTTTTCTTTCATACAATAAACAGAAACAAAAATCAAATCACCCAACAAAGTAAAAATCTTATATAGAATAGTAACGCCAGGTGTCGTATTTTTCTCTTTTTTGTTTTCATAATTCTCCTCGATACTCTTTCATCAAACAAATACAAAAACAACATTTTATGTTTTTTTCCGTCTCCACTAGATTCTGTTTCATTATGTATTCTACTTTATATTATTTAAGAATTTTTTTTTAATTTTTACGAGCTGACTAGATCCTTGTTTCTACGCGAAAAATAGATTATTTTCTTCATGTTTTTTTTGTGGCCAATTGAATAGAAAATTATGCAATATTTGCCTTAATGAAATCTTTTAAGATTAATGGCTCACTACTACTCTCCCTACTTCATAGAACCTCAAACCGCCACCAGTATCACAATTTGAATTCTACTCTCCAGGATATCCTTTTCAATCATCCCCCTGTGCTTTCATAGAACGATGGCAGCTTAACTCCTCTAATATGGTCAAACCTCATTCCCTATAGATATTATTATTTCTCCAACTTTTTAATACAAAATTTTAAAATTTTACATAATATTCACAACGTATGAGCTAATATTTACCATTAAACATTTACTAACAAATATAACGGAATAGATTATGTAAAATAGTCAAAATATCATAATTCCATGCAACTCGTGGAGCTTTTACTAGTTATTTATATAGCAATATAATGTTTGTTATTTTTGTTTTATTTAATTTTAGTATACAAAATCTTTCAGGAAATAAATCTTATATGGATGGCTAGTTAAGTAAAGTTCCATGAAAAGTTATCTGGGTTACCTGATAAGCAATGAAGAACAGAGAGGAACATTTCAAAGATGACATTAAATGTTCCAACAATTAACATATATATAATCCATTAAAAAATCAAAAAACAAAATTCAGAATTAAATCAATTTTCTCCATCTAATCGGAATAAACAAAATGGTGTTAAGAACATCCGTTCTCATCCTATCATTTATGTTATCTTGTGAGTTCTTGTCACTAGCTATTTCTCTATATTAAAACTAAATAAACTCTAACGCATGTTTAAATGTGGTGACTTAATCATTTCTTTTGTAGGCATAATCATGTTACGTGTAACCAATGTAGCAAGAGCTTTGCCAATATGTGTATCGAAAGATGAATGCAAATTCGGTATATGGTGTGGTGATGGAAGTGGAGGAACGTGTTTTCATTTTTCTTGTCAAATAGATATGGATTGTAGGAAACTTGTTCGTTGCAATACACCAGAGCCTTATTGTATGAAGGGAATATGTAGTTGTTAAAGAAAAATGCATGGTTTTATATGTAACTGCTAATGCAGTAATGAAATAAATAGTTTTTGGGCTATTCTGTTTTTTGGATCGGTTGTCGATTTATACACACATACATCATATCCAAAATTTTGTTGCGAGAAATGTTTGTATTTGTAAACACTTGAGTTTATGACCAAGTTAAGTTGATACAACAGCCTACCACTATGCCAGTCACAATCGATGTCTCCATTCGTGTGTACCTAATAAGGTTTAAACTATTATTTATGCTGTTAAATTTTTTTTTAAAAAGCTTTAGCTACTATGTTGACCAAAAATGTAATTCCTTTATGATTTCCCAAAAATATAAGTAAAACAGTCACATATTAATAAGTAAAATATTACATTTTATTTTATATTTTGTTTATTTTATAAAAAAAATTATCCGGCTATGTCATTGCATTGATGATAACAAACACATATAATATTAGTTAAAAAACACGAGAATAATAAATCAAAGGAAAAAAGAGAAAAGGTGATCTTTAAGGGAAAATCAAGAAGAAGAGGAGAGATGAATCAAAAATTGGTTAAAAATTATTCCATAATCGAGAAAAGAGAAGTCAAATATTGTTTCTCCTTCTTCACTTTTTTTTATCTTATTTTGATATAACTAATACGTTTATGAAAAATTAATTAACAAACCCCATATTTTTTAAACTAATATTTCTATGATATTTTAGATACTCTTGATGTGTCTGTTGATGCAAGAGTTTTCACTATTTATTAAAGTTTTATTCTTTTTCTCCTTCTGCAAACGATTCTGTTTCATCTAGTCAACACAAAAAATCAAATCAACCAAAGAAATATTATATAATATATTAAGATGTCAATTTTGTTTTCTTTCTCTAATGGATTCTCTTTTATAGAACAAACACAAAACAACGAAAAAACAAAGCTTTTTTTTATTTTCTACATGGTTTTCTTTAATACAATAAAAAGAAACAAAAGTTTAAAATCTTATATAAAATAGTAACAACAAATGTCACATTTTTCTTTTTTTTGTTTTCATAATTCTCGTAGATTTTCTCTCATCAAACAAATACAAAAGCAACATTTTATTTTTTTTCCTCTCCACTAGAATTTTTTTCGTTATGTCTTCTACTTCAAATTTTTTAAGAAGATTTTTTTTTAAAAAACTTTTAAGAGCTTACTAGATCATTGTTTCTACGCAGAAAGTAGATTATTTTCTTCATGCTTCATAGATTATTTTCTTCATGATTCTTTTGTGGCTAATCAGATAGAAATTCATGTACTATTTGCTTTCATGAAATTTTTTTAGATTAATGGCTCACTACTTTCTTCCCTACTCCATAAAACCTCAAACATCTGAAACAAGATGTTTTTTCGGTCCTGAACCAAATATCCTTAGCCTTTAATCAGTTGTAGAATATGGATCAGGTATCAATTCATTTGTGGAAGATGAGATGAAAACAAAGCCATAAGTTAAGCAATGATGGGGTTTTCATTGAACTAGGACAAGTCTAACAACCTAACAATGCAATAGAAAGAAAACAGAAATTAATACAAGTGAATAGAACTAAGCAATGATCTTAAAGCAATGACTAAATAGGAATTAAGCAATACTAATAACTAAAGCAAGAACTAAGCAAGATGATCTTAAAGACAATTGATTAAAAGCAAGACTTAAGGTTCTAAGCAATTGTGGGATAGTGGTTTTCATGAGTGAAAATTGGGGATTTCTAACAAAGGGCATTCATAAGCAAGCAATTCTCAATGTTGTACTCCTAGATAAGGTATCTAAAAAGAACAAACTTGGCGTCAATACGCATTCAAATTCAACAAGATTGAAGTGTCAAACCCACTTATGATGGTGTATTTTTCAACCATGAGTATAAAGATCAGAACCATTCTAGCCTAAGAGATGTACTAATCAAGCAATCATTCTCTCACCCAAGCAAGAATTCAGATCAACTTATTGATATATCATAGTTTTTATGGTTTTTAACCATGATATAAGTCCTTTTTATTGAGTCTTTTTGGTCTTTTTAGAGTCCTAGAAGAGTCTTTGCAGGTTATAGCATGTCTGGAGCATAATTGGAGATATTGGAACCTTTTGGAGCATTCTGAGTTGAAGCCACGAAGTACCAAGCTCGAAGCAGAAAGTATGCCATAAGGTGACGCTCGTCACCCATCAAGGAAGGAGTGTGGCCTGATTTATTAAAAGTATGAACACTATTTGCAGAATTGGCCCAGAAGTTCCATTATTTACAAGAAGGCTACAGATCTTGTTTAGCCTCTATTTAATAGGGTTTTCAGCCATTGTTGGCTATTATCTTAGTTTTTGAGAATTCAGAGAGCTTAGAGAGAGATTTATTCAGAGCTTTTTGGGGAGACAAATCCTGTACTCTTTTGAGAAGATTTTGAACCCCTCTATTCTTTTACTCTTTCTCTTAATGCAATTTTATTCAGTTATGTTTTGTGATTCCATGATAATATCTGAGTAATCTGCTAGTTAAGTTAGGGCTTTTTCAAGGGTTGATGAAGATATTGTAGAATCGCTATCTGTTAGGAATATCTTTTGGTTTTTCATCTCTGCTTGCTTTAAATTCGAATTTCTGAGACACATCATCTAGAAATCCGAAAACCCTAGGTTGAAAAATATTTGTGAGAGTATTATTGATAACCTGAACTAGTATTTGATGAGCAAAACAACTTAGTGCAAAGAGATTTGGCTTAGGAGTTTTGTAAACAATTGAATCTGATAATTCCTGCATGCTTAGGTTGTTAGGGTTTGCAAAGAGATTTGAAACTCTGTGATTTAGGCATAGATAACTTCTGCAATGAGAATTGATTAGTTATACATCAGTGATTCATGTTTAAAACGATTCTTAATCATTCCTGATTTCATGCATTCTACATTCTTGGATTTAACCTGCGAACTGTCCTGACTTAGCACTTTTAGTCTTCTGAAACTTAGATCATCTTACAAAAATCGTTTGCTTACTTTTATTTATTCATTCGCATTACATACATTATATTCTGCTTAGCTTAATCCGAACCTACATTCGATAGTTTAGTCTGCATTACTCTCTTGGGATTCGATACCCCTTGTACTACAACTTCTTTTGTTGTGCACTTGCAGTAGTTTTATTTGGGTAAAACTCAACTCCCCCAGACTTAGCTTCTGCTTGCCCTCAAGCAAACATCAGACAAAGAACATGGTCGAGGTTTGAAAACAAGAAATAGCCAGTCAGACATCAGAAACACCACACTAGTTTGAACTTTCGAATCCACATACCACAGAGTCAACACAAGATCAAATTTCAGTCTAATCATCACAAGCTTAGCAAATCTCTCAAATCCAGTCCAAATCCCTTCAAGAAATCCGAAATTTCTACTGCTAAATCCTTAATTTTTTACCTAAGTGTGAGATCTCATCAAGGTTCTATCATCTCAATCACTTTACAGATTATTTTCCCTTCCTAACAACTGAACAAACCAATCTCAACACAGCTCTCCTATTTTCTCTTCCCTTGATCTTTTCCTTTGGATATTTTTGATTTTTCACTTCCTTTTCTCAACTTTTACAGTCTAAGATATGGTGCTACTCAATACTTTTGTTCCTTGTGAGGAGACAGGTTCTTGAGTGTGTTCACTACTGTTGTTCCTTGTGAGGAGACAAGGTCATGAATGCACCATTCTTTGGACTTACTTTTAAAAACTACATCAGGGAGGATCAAAGAGAGACTGTATCTTAACCTTATTGTCAGTCCTGAAAGAGAGAATCAAGAGCAGTTAGAATTAATCACCAAGATAAGAAGTTTAAAGTTCATTAAGGTGGAGCTAACAGCAAATTTTTCAGATTCTCTAAGAACCTAAACCTTCATTGCTAGACTGATCTACCTATGATTTTCAACTTAGTAAGACTTGTAATCAACTACTGTGGCAATGATTCTTATAAGCAAAAACGTCCTGTTGTTAGTTCAAAAACAAACTGACAATTTCAAAATTCTGACTCTATAAAACTGGTTTTTGACTAAACTTTAAGACTCTATAAACATGACACAAAGCACACAACGTTAGTAACCACCTCCCCCAGACTTAAACAACATTGTCCCCAGTGTTATTAAGCCAAGAGTTGGTCAGAAAAATGAATGAGAAGTCGAAGAACCATGGTCAAAAAGTGTTACCTCAGGTGGGGTCGGGTGACGAGCGTCACCACGACCTGTATTTCCCAATTGTCAAGTTAGATGTTAATTAACGAAGTGTTGTCATGTGTACTCTAAAGTTAGACTTTTTGAGCACTCAAACACACAATTAACAACATCCAAACATAGCAATAAGAACCTGGTTCAACAATCTCACAAAACATCATCAAAGAAACTGATAACTGACTCAAAGAAAACATAAAAATGACTCAAGAAAAATAAAAATAAAAGAGAAAAAGAAACAAGTATCCAGATAGTAGAGCCTCAGTCCTCATCCTCGCAAGGGCTCAGTGGTGTAATGGGGGCGGACACAACCACAGTTGCTAAGTGTAGCAACAGCATCCCAGAGTCCCTCAAAGCTGTCAATGACATACTCCTGAAAAGCAGCCATATCCATGGGTGTCTGTGGTCGTGGAGGACGCCTGAAAGCAATGGAGGAGGTAGTCAGGCGTGTGGATGGTCCAACATCATCAGCAGCTGCAGTAGAAGCAGAAGCACCAGCTATAGCAGCTCTAGCAGGGCGCAGAGGTAAATGGCGCAGTAGAGTCCGCTCTGGCATGAAGAAAAGCTGGCGTGGAACTCCTTGAATCGTAGTGAGGGCTCTCTGTGGCAACTTAATGCCAACATACTCTCCAGAAGTAGTAGTAAAAGTCCATACAACGCCAATCTTGAGCCAAGTGACATGGCGCAGATACTGGTCATCCATGAGTGATCTGGTACTGAGTAGACTGCAGGGAGTGACATCGATCTGGAAATGATGGAAGATAAGTGTCAGAAGGCTGCCGACACTCTCTATCTTCTCCC